GTGTAATGACAGCTAGGTTGCTTGGTGGAAAGCTGGAATTTCAAGGGGGGTGCACGGCAAGCTTTGTTTTGGGTGATGGGTGCATGTGTTGGCTGATTTATTTGTTGGGAATGCATGTGAAAAACAACTAGGGTGAATGATTGAGGTGGGAATGGAAGAATGTGGCTGCAATGATGAATACATGTGGCTGAAATGAAAGGGAAATGCAATTGCAACACACGGCAAGGGATGTGTTGGTGTGTGTATGAGAATTTCTGGTTCTAAGGCTTTGTTTGATTGGGCTAGGCCCTTTGTTTTATGTCCTAAAGTGCATACAAGGCTTCAATTTCGTCCAACACTTTGGCTCCAAGCATAAGCTATCCATTCTAAGCCCAATTTTGCTCCAAAATGCTCCAAATTGCACCTTTTTGCTTCCTTAGCCATATGAACCTAGAAACACACGAAAATGGCATAAAGGACTAAAATAACTAAAGAAACACAACGTAAATGCATGAGAACAAGCCAATTAAGTCGCATAAATATGCTCCTATCAGAAAACTACTAGCATAATAAGTGATAGGTTTACTGAAAACCCTAGCATGCCAAAAGCATCTCAAAAGACATATTACGGAAAAACATCACGAAAATCAAAATATCAATCGTCTCATAGATCGTCTCGTAAGCGCGGTGTGCTGCTAGTAAGATAACTGAATAAATATAACTCCCGGTCCTATGCCAGCACCGTGATCTCTGCGCCCGTAGCCAAAGATTACCAACTCCCGGCCCAATGCCTGCTCCGTGTCCCTCAGCTCGTAGCTAGGGATTATTTCTCCCTGCTTAACTGCCAATACCAGATCCTTGCCCCAAGCAGCATAGTGTCCTCTAGGTACGCACAAATAGTTACGCCTCTCAAAAATAACCACTTCATAGTATAAAGTCATCCATCGTCTATACTATAAAGAGGGGTTTCAAAAACATGTTCTAGCATCCTATCGTCATCCATCAGATAGTCTACCAGTTCATGGTTTTTACAGAAAATACGATATATTAAAATATAGCTCAATATAGGCCAACAATTAATTCCTTACAAAATAATGAGACGATAATCAACATTTCAATAAACATGCTTAACATAAAATCAATCCATAAACTCGTAAGGCATGCTTTTCATTTGTGCAGTTAAACTATGAAATCATGTAATTTTAGAAAAGGTCCACTCATAAATACTCCGTAGCAACAGAGTTGTGCGGAAAAGGATTAAGGAAATCCCTACTAGCAAGTTCACCTAAGCACAAAAATGTACAGTTTATCAAACTATGCACAATAGTAAAATTCTAGTAAATGGACGCCAAAAACGGATTCAGAACATCAAAATTGGCCTAGGAGAGATTTTGGGTTTTTGGGTCCTAAAATTTTTTGTTAAAAAAGGTTAGGGTGAAAATGGGTGGTTTGGGCCTTAAACCCAAACCCACACAAACATACACACACGGGGCACAACACACACACACGTGCACACACTCACACACACATACACCCGCTACACAAACACACACATGCACGGCATGCGCGCGCGCGCACACACACGTGCACACACTCACACGGACACACATACACACGCTACACAAACACACACATGCACAGCATGCACACACATGCATGGCATGCACACACACACACACACACAGAGTCCACATGCACACGCAGTCCACATACACACGCACACACTCACGCACTGCACAGCCCAAAGGCCTAACACACGGGGCCGGGCTTTAAGCCATTTCTAAATAAAAACGGCCCAAGGCCCTTTGGGTCATTAAAATAAATAACAGAAAATTAATTAAAAGAAATAGAATGGGGGTTTGGTCTACGGGCCCAAAGCCCGTGGGAGTCCTGAATGGCCTGAAAAGGGCCTGCATGCAGATCGGAGAAGAACGCCAGAAAATGGTGATCGGAATTCGTCCCGATTCCGATTTGGACCTAAAACTAAGTGAAAATAGGAAGTTAAATCATAAAAATGATTCTGAAAAAGAAGGGAAACAGAATTTTACCATAAATAGGATCAAATGGGGTCGAGATTGGCCGAGTTCGTGTATGAGCTTCGAATTTTCTCGTCGGGTTCTGGGGTTTAGAACACAGAAAAACCACAAGCTCAAACTTTGGTTTTCACACGAAGTTATAAACCCAACATGCAAACCCAGAAATTTAAAAGAAAAAGTAAGGAAGAACCTCACTTGTGTTCGAGTTTCAGAGAGTTGAAGCTCTCGGCTTCAATGGCAGAACACACAGAGGTGTTCTAAAGCCCTAAGGATTCTAGATATGTGGTTATTTTGTTGGATTTGTCTAGTTTTCGAAAAGGGAGGGGACGAGAGCTCTCAGAGCTTAGGGGAAAGTGGAAACTTCCGAGAGTTAGAGAGAGAAAGAGAGAAAGCTAAGTTTTTCAGAAAATAAGGAAGGAAGAGGTTAGGGCTCACGGGTTGGGTCATTGGACCTAACCTTGGGCCTTAAGTTAACACAAAGGGGGCTGGGCTTGGCCCAATAAAATTTTAGATTATTTGGGTAAGGGTTATTACAGTATAACCCCGATATAGTGCAAGGAGGGAGAATTACCAATGTATCACCCCCATATAGTGCAAAAACATCCTTGTCAGATAGCCCCATTCTATAGAACTTTTCCCTAAAATGTGGTGCACCTATCATCAAAAGATAGAACACACGGATAAGAAATTAAACTTCTATTAATGAACAAAAAATTTCGTCTCCCAAACAATTTAATTGAAAATGATAGAGAAGCAAGCATGAATTAAGAAAGCTAGGATACAGAAGCACGTATAAACTAATAGAGACATTATTAGAGAACTTCTAATCTAGTCTAATAAAAAAACTTCTAAATATCTAATACTGAAACGCATAACATTTATGAATTATAATCCAACTAAAATGCTAGCATATGAGAACTATTAAAATAGGGAAAAATAAAACTTGATGAAGATATATTAAGTATTCGAATAAACCTCGTTTAGCACCTAGAAGTCGTCCTTCCTTAGGAGAAATTTTAGAATCCTAAGAAAAAGTACAAAAAACAGATGAAAACTTGAAAACAGTGATATGGAAACTAGCTATGTGTTGTTGAAATAAATGATCAGTGGCCACAACATACCTTCCTGCCTGGAAAAAAAAAAAAGCAATGGCAGGGCAGTGAACTCAACTGCAGCACACCAGCAAGCTGAAAATACAAGTAATCATGCCCCTTAATTGCTGTCTTCATTAAAGAATCCATGCTATCTCCCACGTATTTTAGGAAAGCCTGTGATGGTCTTTGTACAAGGTCTTCATTTGCAAATAATTTGAAGAGCTAAATTCATATAATACGCTGAGTAAATTATTCAGAACTATAATCACCTGGTGTAGGTCTGCATATGTAATCCTTGGATGCTTAGACATAAGAGTCATGACTCTCAAACTCATTACCAAGATATGTATTAAGCACCCTGTTCTGATCTCTGTTGTGAATCCAAAGTATATGAACTACAACACTGATCCTACCTTAACAAAAACTTCCACAGCTTGCATCTGATTCAAAATCTTAATTTCCAACCTCAAAAAAGATCCCAAGCATGTTGTTGAATCTGTCACAAACAAAACTTCATAATGTCCTGGCAACAAACATTGCTAAAACTCCTAAAATCACGAACAATGCAGATTTATCCCGAATGAAAAATTGTGGGAAAGTGTACCCTACAAGGAGTCAAAGACATTAAATTTACCAAACTCATACTCCCGGTAGTTTTACAAGTTTTCAAACTAATTCAACACAACAAAGTCCCATTAGCTACGCAAAAGCTAAACAATTTTCCAACTAATCCAAAACTAAACAATCCCATCAGCTACACCAAAAGCGGTTCGTGTTTCTACTAAAACTTAAAACCCAGTTAAAAAAAACACAACTCTGAATTTAACTAAAAAATATATTTTAGCAAAATTTATTGAGTTCCAGATCAAATTCCGTTACCACCCATACTGAAACGAAAAATAAATCCTTGTATATCTCAAAACTCACTTGAAAGCAAACGACAACAAAAATTGGAAACAAGAAAAGAGGGGATCTCAAGTACATAATCTTTCCAGGTAAACATATTAACAACAATTAGAAAAATCAATCCAATATTAATAAAAACAATAGTCTTCCGAATTTGAGAGGAACCCTAGAAATCACTTAGCAAAAGTTATTGAATAAGAAAAGAGAGAAGATGGAGATGATTGTAGTGGCTTACAAGAACTCCGATTGTGCTCCAAAATCTCCGATTGAATCTCTAATTGGATGGATTAGGGCGAGAGGAGCTCCGTACTTTTAGTCGAATAGGGAAAAGAAATGGTTGAGGGAGAGAAAAAGATTTTTCTTTTTCGGATAGAAGGGAAAAGGAAACGCGCGGTGGGCTATTTCATCTGAAAATTGCGCACGTATATAAAAATTTGAGCACTGAATTTTATTATGTCCTCTCGGGCCATCGCAAACCCTTTGTTGAAGACGACAGATTGTTATTTCTAATCTTTTTGCGACTTTAATTGCAACGTTACCAATGCCAAGGTCGCAATTACTTTCGCTCCACCATCTAGTGCGCATATTTTTTGTTATTTGCGACGGCCGTGCTATCTGATGCAAAAAACCTGTCGCAATAAGGCCTTTTTCTTGTAGTGATCTTGGTTTGTGCATGCATGCATAAATCAAATATATTGTTCAATATGCTCATGAATCTGTTCTTGCTTGCTTGCTTGTACCCACCAATACATTCTTGAGCCAAGCATGTGCATAACTGAATCAGTATTCTGCCTTGATGAGCCGTGTCTTCTGTGCTACTTAGATCCCCGAAAAGTCGAATGCGTGTATTAGGAATTTGATGAATGGATCTAAGTGGCACATAAGCTTCTCAGTAGCCCCCTCTGTGAGTATTTCTGAACCATGTCGATTTTTTCCTCATCGGCATTGCCAAATCCCATTAATGTAGACGAATGGATAATAATTGCTTTGTTGTAGGCAGTTGTCGAGAAAACCAAAGTGAGCCCAAGGGAAATTGGGGATATTATTGTGGGTACAGTGTTGGCTCCGGGATCTCAAAGAGCTAGTGAGTGTAGAATGGCTGCCTTTTATGCTGGCATCCTTGGTATGTATACCCCGTAAGCAAATGTAATGATCCTTTAGTATCAATTGTTTGTTAATCATTGCCATGAGCATGATGGTTATAATGTGCAGAAACTGTGCCAATTAGAACTGTGAACAGACAATGTTCATATGGACTTCAGGCCATTGATGATGTAGCTGCGTCTATAAGGGCAGGATTTTATGATATTGGTCAGTCTTTGCCGAGGTCTTTGTTATTGTCGCATGATTGATTCAGTTCAGACAAGTACCCTTATCAGTTTAACTTATCCCGGATTATTTCATGCATGAATTGGAGCTGGGTTGGAATCTATGGCTGCAAATCCAATGGCATGGGAAGGATCAGTTAACCCTAATGTACTATCTCTCTCTCTCTCTCTCTCTCTCTCATGCACATTCTTTTTGTACATTGTTTCCCTTTTATATAAATAGTTTCTTGTACAAATGAAATCTTAACAGGATTGTATGATTCCTAAATTTGCATTACGGTCAGGTGAAGATGTTTGAACAAGCCCAAAATTGCCTTCTTCCTATGGGAATCACCCCTCAGAAAATGTCTCGCATCAATTTGGAGTTTCACGGAAGGAGCAAGATCAGGCAGCAGTTAGTTGAATAAATCTTTCTGTTTGGTATTGTACTCTAGTTTTTCAATGTTTAGTGGACTTTTTTGGGAATTGTTATTGGCACTCCAAAAATCTCATTCTACACTTCAAACTTTTTATATTTGGAAAGAAAAATACACTTGTGAGGAGTATAGAAGGAGATTTTTGGAGTGCCAATAACACTTCCCTTTTTTTTAAATACTTGTTTTAGGTTGACTCTCATAGGAAGGCAACTGCTGCTACTGCCGCTGGTAAATTTAAAGACAATTATTCCCGTGGCAACCAAGGTAATATACAGTTTTGGCTGATTATGTTTGCATACACTTGTGCAAGGGCATGCGTGGTCTTGATGTGGCACTGATTTGAGTGAATTAAAATAAATCGTCAACCCAAAATCTGGTGAGGAGAAAACTTATTGATTTTCAAGGATTGAATTGTATTTCCCCTCCTGTATTCTTTTACAATTGTACAGCAATATATAAGAGGATTAACCTCTTGCTCCTCTTGCTTTACGCCACAACAGGTGGCTTAGGAAAAAATAAAATAACAGCCCCTTGAATTAAGGGAGTTGATTAAGGGAGTTGACACCCTTGAATTAAGGAAGAAAGCACCCTTGTATTACGGAAGATGTCTGGCTTAGGAAAAATAAATAACATTCCCTTGAATTAAGGGAGAAAGCCATTCCCTTGAATTAAGGAAGAAAGCGACTTCCATTCCCTTGAATTAAGGGAGAAAGCGACTTCCAATACTCCCCCTCAAGCTGGATCCAGAAGGTTTATGGATCCAAGCTTGAACAGAAGCCATTGAAACCGATGAGAAGCCAAGGGCTTGGTGAAAATGTCGGCCAACTGGTCGAAGCTTCGTGTATACCGTGTCTGAATTACCTGCGACTGCACCTGTGCCCGAACGAAATGACAGTCAACCTCAATGTGTTTCGTTCTCTCGTGAAACACAGGATTAGATGCTATATGCATGGCTGCCTGATTGTTACAGAATAAGGACATAGGAAGAGTTGCAGGAAATCCTAAATCACACAGAAGACCCTTGAGCCAGATCAACTCACACGCAGTGGAAGCCATTGCACGGTACTCAGCTTCGGCACTGGATCTAGCGATAACAGTTTGCTTTTTACTTTTCCAGGTAACCAAGTTTCCACCGACAAATGTACAATAGCCGGAGGTGGACTTACGATCGATTGCGTTGCCTGCCCAATCAGCGTCACAATACCCTACGACTTGAGTGTTGTCATTCTTCCGCATGATGATGCCACGACCCACTGAACCTTTTAAGTAGCGTAAGATTCGTTTAACCAGAGTCAAATGTTCAAGAGTCGGGGAGTGCATGAATTGGCTCAGAAGACTTACAGAATAGGTGATGTCGGGTCTAGTGATTGTGAGGTAGATCAATTTTCCAACCAATCGCTGATAATGGGTGATATCCGTGAGTGGCGTGCCCTTCAAGCTAGGTTTTTGCTTACTGTCAAGAGGAGTGGTGGCTGGTTTAGCATCGCTCATGTTAGCATCATTGAGCAAATCCAAGACATACTTTCTTTGGTTAAGAAACAGTCCCTTGTGTGAGGTTGCCACTTCTATACCAAGAAAGTACTTCAATAAAACTGTTACAATTTCTGTTCATGATGGGATTTGGAACACAACATTGGCAGACCTAGCAAAGTTGAAGCCTGTCTTTAAGAAAGATGGGAGTACCATTGCCTGGTACCTTCTGACAGATGATACAACAATTCATTTAAGAAGTATTATTGCATTATTTAATATCATCATTTGGTATATCCTTTTTAGGTAACTCTAGTCAAGCTAGTGATGGCGCTAGAGCTGTTCTCTTGATGAAGAGAAGTGTTGTTGAGCAAAAAGGTTTGCCAATTCTGGGTGTATTCAGGTATGCTACTCGGTGAAGTCATGCATCTATTGGACAGTTGGGGCAACCTTATTTTTTTGTCTAACCTACTATTTCTGCCTGGTGAAATTAAGATTTGTGGAGTCCATGTTCCCTTAATTTTTCAACAAGCAGGATCAGAAGTGTGTCCTTATAGGTCTCAGTGTCCAGCATATTTCTCTGTATCTTTGGGGTTCAGTAGTTTTATTGCTATCAGCATGCTTACATAATTTGCTACCTTATATCTAATAAAGCTCTGAACTTGGATCTTTCTTGGACAAACAAAAATGGCACAGTTCTATGTTGCATAAGTTTTACTTCATACACAGTAATCAGCTTCTTTCACTTAAAACGTATGAAAAGGATTTCAGAACTTGAGGGTTGGCTACTGATGTGGGATCTCGCTTTCTCTAAACAAATTTAACTATAGTGTGCCAGCTTTTGCATCCCAATATCTTTATTGCCGTAACAAGTTGGGACTTGATTCTGAAAAGATCAATGTTAATGGAGGTACACTTGCCATTGGTCATCCACTCGGTGCAACAGGTACATACTTAAAATTCCACTTTCCATAGGCTCACAGCACTGTGTTTTACTTTCTTCCAGTACTTTTATAGATTAATGGATCCTGAAAGGGTAAGTGTTTCAACTAAGGGGAAGCTGCTCCATTCTTAAACCCGACACGTGTAGTTTCTCTTCTTTTTATTGATCTTGTAGGTTCTGGATTGCTAACAGATTAAATCATCTGTTAAATTTGTCTGGAAGTGAATTTTAAAGTTTACATAATAATAGATACTGAATGCGTCATAACTCATGAATTAAAACTGTATCAAAATTTTATTTTCAGAATACGAAATTTGAATTTGTTAACAGAAATCTAATTAGTTGAGCAAAAGTTTGTTGATTGTACTGAGACCTCATTTGATCGTTTCAGGTGCACGCGCAGTGGCCACTTTATTGCATGAGATGAAGTGACGAGGAAAGGACTGCCGCTTTGGAGTGATATCAATGTGCGTAGGCAAATAATTCCTCTCCTCTTTTGTGTGCGTACAAGTAATGACAATGGATGTCATTTGGAAAATGCAGGCACAGGCGTAGGGGCAGCAGCTGTTTTCGAATGGGGGGGACTGCGTTGATGGACTGTGTAATGCCCGCAAAGTTGAATCCCACAATCATCTTTTATCCAAGGATGCTCTGTAGAAAGGAATATCTATCACACATCTTAGTGTTCGTATGAATAATGTAGGGTTGAGAATGAAATTTGTAATGATGCCTTGCAATAAGGTTGCTTCATTTTCTTTTTCATTCATGACCTTTCCATGCCAAACCAAACAGAACGGATATCCATCTTTGAAATTGAGATGCAAAATGCTTGGAATCCCAAATTTATCTCTCTTATTGGAGTAGAACTGACATTTACACCTCTCATAGATGTAAAATGAGATGTAAATGTGACTTTTACATCTAAATTTGCATCTCTCCATTAGAGATGTTCTAAAAGTAGAGCGAAAAGGTGAAATTCATTAGTGTGAGAGCCATGTCGACATGCGATTGTGTTTATTAACATAATAAGGTGAGCAACTTCTCAACTAAGGTCTTGTTTGGCAACTCGTATAAGGGACTGGATAGGATTAATAGTACTGACTTAGTTGTTTTGTGCACCAATGAAGGGATGCAAAAACCATATTTACATCCCATTTTACATTTCCAAGAGAGGTAGATAGGAGTTACACTCCAACGAGATAGATGCAAATTTGAGATCCTATTTAATTTCCTCTTTTTGATTGGCAGGACCCACCATTAAAAAAATATAAAAAGATATTTATATTTAAGTTTTTATTTACATTTTCCGACCAACCAAAATGCTAAAATACTTCTTTCAAGACTTTTTGCATCTTCTATTGGAGATGCTCAAAGTACAATTGTTATAATATGGTTTGAAATTACCATGTTGAAAAGTATTTAGAGTGGGACAAAGTTAGTGCAATAGCAAAGCTTATGAAATAAGGAGTTGATTTCACTCTTTTTTAGTCTCACACCACTCCTTGTTTTTATTGTGGTCCTCGAATTGAATAAATCAAACAAAAAAATGAACACGATTATGTTAAGGTGCGTATGAAGTAAAAAATGATGTATTTTATCATTTACTTTTGGATAAATTACATTTTACCCCCTCGTACATCATTTTTAAAATATTTCAATCTCATAAATTTACTTGTATTTTAGCTACAACTTCATACATTTGTTAGTCAAACAGTCAATTTAATTGTTAAGTCATGACGTGACAAATGCAGGCTTGATCACGTTGAGCTAGCTGCTACTTTCTCCAGACTCCCACATCCCTTTCCTTCTCTCTCTCAACTAAATTGATTTCAGTCACTAACATAATTCAACATTAGAGTAAAAATAAGAGCTAAAATAGATCTAGGCATTCATAGGGGTTGGTGGTAGGTTGATTGCAGGAGGGGGTTGCAATGGGAGTTGTGGCTTAGTGTGTACCGCAGAGAGGATGAGTTGGTGGTTGGGTTGAAGAGAAGTAGGTATGGTTGGCTTGGGTGGGTGTAGTTAGGGTGAAGATCGGTGAGGGGTCACCGGATCGACGGTGATGGGAGTGTGGGACATGATTTTTCAGGTCTAGAGTAAGACAAATCAGAGTACACATACCTCAAAAGTCCTATCATGGACTCGACAGCCTCTGATGTGGAACTAAATAAATGAAGCAACAATGCCACCATCATTTTGTTACAGAACCAATGGGCAAAGTTTGACCACTTTGATGAGATTAACCATTTTTGTTTTGCGAGGTACGAAAACCTAATTAGCAAGAAATCAGCAGGTTTTTTATAATCTTGGAGTTCTTACAATCTAAATATTGCCGTGTACCGCAAGTAATCATACTCATAAAAAGATGCAATATCTACTTCCTAGATATCATCTGGGATTCTCCCGATTTAATAAGGATTCATCTATCCTTGTCTTCTCCCCGATTGGTATAAATACATCCTTCTAGGTTGCAATCATGTCATACTTCTCACACACTCCTTACCATTCAACCATCATATCAAATGAATTAAAGAAGATCAATGACCAAATTTAACAAGAATGTGTGGAAGACAATGTTCTAAAAATCGGCTGAGGTGTTGGACAGCGAAGGCTCGACTCAATTTTGGCTGAATCGTTCACTTAAGGC